ACACAACAATAGACTTAAACAACCCAGGGGAACAAATCTGATCCTGGAGGATGGATCCCCATACCACCAAAAGGCACTAATTCAGTTTATTTTGAATATGTAGCGCTTCATTACAGATTGCTATATTTAAAGCCAACATAATTAACAAAGACTGTTGTCAAATGTTTTCAGAAAAACTAAACAAAATAGTCTTTCATAAGCTTATACTAAAACACTGCCCCTGTTAAGCTTGTTTTTTGACTTTTTGATGTTTCCCTCATTAGCTTTGCTATGATGGCTTTAGAGCTCATCATAGCACTGAAACAGCTCTGTTGAAAGTCACTAATGATATTCTCATGGCCTCAGATAATGGACTTGTATCTGTGCTCGTCCTGTTAGATCTCAGTGCTGCATTTGATACAGTTTATAGGAATATTTTATAGGAACAGCACTAGACTGGTTATCTAAATCTAAATCTTATCTATCTGATCGATTTATGTACATGATACAGTTGACCATAATATTCTTTTAGAAAGACTTGAATATTTTGTTGGAATTAAAGGAACAGCACTAGACTGGTGTAAATCTTATCTATCTGATCGATTTCAGTTTGTTCATGTTAATGTCTAATCTTCCTCATGCTCACGGGTTACCTTTACTAAATATATGCTCTCAATCGGTAGAATTATTAGACAGCATGGGATTAATTTCCACTGTTATGCTGATGATAGATAGATTTGTCTATAAATACCAGATGAAGCTAACCCGTTACATAGATTACAGGCATGTCTTGAAGACATAAAAACCCCATATCAAAGAGGTTTCTAGAGTTTCCTTCTTTCATCTGCGCAATATTGCAAAAATTTGTAAAATCCTGTCCAGGGGTGATACTAAGAAAGTAGTCCATGCAGTTGTTACTTCAAAGCTGGATTAATTTAATTCTTTACTCTCAGGAAGTCCACAAACTGCAGTTTAGATTTCTGGAGGACATAGGCACCCCTTTTTTCATCATTCTGATTTATTCTATCTCAGTTCTCCAACTCTGCAGAATCTGTTAGTTCAAACTCTAATGTTATGCTCTCTCTGTTTTTTCTCATAATAGCCTCGTCTGTTCCTGTTTGGCTGTGACACCATCCTGGAGAGAAATATCAGCTGTGCTGCTGCCATCAACACTTTTGTTTATAGATGCAGGAGATCAGCCTTTTTTTCAGTGTAGTTCTGTTTCTCAGACTGTGAATTGCTTTTTACAGTTGCCTTTTGTATTTCTACTTCTGTCTCCTTGAACCTCAGTCAGCCTCGGCAGATGGCCACTCCCACTGAGCCTGGTTCTGCTGGAGGATTCTTCATGTTAAAAGGGAGTTTTTCCTCTCCACTTTTGCTATAAGCATGCTTAGTGTGAGGGATTGCTATCGAGTCAATGAGTCATTGCAATCAACTGGTTTTCCGTAGATAGAAAACTTTGAATCAATTTGACTGATCATCTGGGGGAGAGCCACTGCTCCTCCACTTTGAGGAAAGCCAGTTGAGGTGGCTCGGGCATCTGGTTAGGATGCCTCCTGAATGCCTACCTGGTGAGGTGCTCTGGGCACGTCACACTGGGAGGAGACCCAGAGGGAAACCCACGATATGAATGAATTGCAACCGCCTCGACTCAAACCACGGACAACCTGAAGAGGATGGATCGATATTTATTTACACAAAATTAAATAGAGACATGGTTTTTGCAAACAACAAAATTTTATAACAAAATGTTATAACATCCTATACATAACTGTTAATATTCATATACAAATTAATACTCACTTTTAGTAAATACAATTTTAAAAAGTATAACGTTAAGAAAAAACATAAAATCAAATGTATTTTTGTACACTCCCTACAGATTTCATATGCTGGTATTAAATCCTATATGTAACTGTAAATATTCATATACAATTTAATACTCCCTTTAAAGGAATAGTACACCCAAAACATGATTAGCCTTCATTTTCTACTCACCCCCATGCTGAACAACACTCTGGAGTACTTTTTTGATATCTCAAATGCATCTGGAGATCTGGGAGGCTTCTTGCTGTCTGCTGACATTCAAATAATGGAGGTCTATGGTGCCCGAGACAGAAAGGTCCATAAAAGTCCACAAAAAAACGTGTCAATATTCCTCCATACTGCTCGTCCAATGTATTCCAAGTGTCCTAAGTGGGTAGCATCCAGAATTTACTCAAAACGAAGTCATTTAGAATGTTTTTAGAGCATAAACAGTAGTGTATAGGATTTCCTGAAAGCGCGCACCTGCGAGTTCACGACGCTACGGAAGCCGGCAGACCAAACCAGATGAAAGTGCGCATTCAGCGCCTTCTCTGCCAATAATGCAGCGTAGAAGAAGAAATGTGCTGTTTACCTGTGCAAAGAAAGAAACAACGAAAGAAAAATGTCTGAGGACTTCCGTGTTGAGGAAGAGCATGAGTTCTTTGCCGAGCTGAATGCGCACTTTCGTCTGGTTTGGTCTGCCGCGGTTTCCGTAGCGTCATGAACTCGCAGTCGCGCGCTTTCAGGAAATCCTATACAAAATTCTGGATGCTACCCACTCAGGACACTTAGAATACATTGGACGAGCAGTATGGAGGAGTATTGACACGTTTTTTGTGGACTTTTATGGACCTTTCTGTCTCGGGCACCATAGACCTCCATTATTTGAATGTCAGCAGACAGCAAGAAGCCTCCCAGATCTCCAGATATCAAAAAAGTACTCCAGAGTGTTGTTCAGCATGGGGGTGAGTAGAAAATGAAGGCTAATCATGTTTTGGGTGTACTATTCCTTTAAGTAAATACAATTTTAAAAAGTGTTTAAATGAAGAACAACTTTATATATACGTAGATACAACTTTTTTTTTGTAGTAAGGGACAACTTTTTTACCAAAATATTTAATTTACACATAGAAAACATAGATAACATAATTCAAACGGTATTTGTTTATATACGTGTAAATCTTTTACAATGTTATAGTAAAAAATATTTTTACTATACCTTTAAATTTCAGTTTTAGAGTCTATGTTGGTTCTCACTAGATCCAATTAAAATAATACTTTTATTATTTAGAATTAAAGAATTAACAGTGAGAGAGCAGGAACAACAATGTAAATTGTTGTAATTCAACACTTATCAAGGTTTGACTAATTTAACAATAGCGTTAAATTAAAATGCACAATTGAATAGACATTCTATCAAAATGACCAAATGTATGTCAGACATTGCTTTCATCCGTCAAAAGATTTTTAAAATAAATAAATTAAACAGGCCTGGATAAAAATTATGGTAACATAGAAATTATGTGTCAACAGGTGTGCCTATACATAGAGCTACAGCAGTCACTGTGCTGTTTGGTGATGTGGTGTGTACCACACGCAATATGAAAGAAGTTTTCTTAGTATATTAAAAAGAAAATTACAGACATACATTTAAAAAGTAAAGGCTATAAGACCATCTTCAAGCAGCTTGATGTTCCTGTGTTTACAGTTGCGCGTGTTACTCAGAAATTGATGATCCACAAGACTGTAGCAGGAGGAAAATAAATGGGAAATCAAAAAGACAGATAATATAAATGGAAAAGAGAGAAGCTAGAAAAACTAAAGAAATAAAAGCTGACTTCAAGCTCAATGAACAGCAGTGTGAGAGCACACCATCATCCACTGTTTGAAAAAAAGTGGATTTAAAGGAGATGCAAATCACAGAACTCTGAAGAATAACACTGGGGCTGCACTTAAACTATCTTAGTTTAAAAATGCAGAAATAAAGGCTTTGGAGCTGTTTATAGGTACTTGTGAGGTAGTGAGAGATGACGCTCAGAGAGCTATTTGTATAGTTTGTGTAAATTTCTCTTTTTTATCAGGGGAGAAGGATAAGTAGTGTTGCACCAATGCCATTTTTTGGCCCCGGTACCGATACCCGATACCTGGCTGTGCATTATCGGATGGTACCAACACCATACCGATACCATCTGTTTGAAATGTGTGTATATATGAGAACAACTGCATACTACTTGGATATAAAATAATTGCCATCATGGCTTTGTCAAGCTGCTGCCTACCTTTGTGGAGCAGGAAAAAGACTAATACAAAGTGAATCCAGTAGAACTTTTTATTGTGTACCTGGAATGGGTGACAATAGTTGAATAAAGTTTTGGCTCTCAAAATGGTATCGGTGCCCTATTTGTCTGTACTCTGCGATACTGATACCACCATTTTAGTGCTGGATCAGGGCCCTACCCTATACTGGTATCGGTATCAGTGCAACACTAGTGACAAGTTCCACTTTCCTGCACTCTCACTTGTTGTTTTTTGGAGAGTCAAATGGGATCAATACTCTTTCCATTTTCTGTCTTCTGAACTTCTATCATGAGTAAAGTAATCTGTTTTTTAAATGTGTCATTGATTGTCCTTTCCCCAGTCTGGCCCGTCTGCTATGCATGCACAGTGCGACTCCAAACCTGGCTGTTTTCCCTTGAGATAAAGAGATCTTATTTTGTATTTTCCCCCAAAGCGGGTGTGTTTTACTTTGCAACCACATCTCTCTTCCTGTCAGACCCATGAAATTGCTGCTAAATTGCTGCATATTCAGCTCAGCCAAACGCTCCAGATGTCCCTCTTTAATTTCCTTCCAGTCAATCCTTTCCCCATTCTTCCTAATTCCTTTCCCTTCCCTCATTCATTTCTTACAGTATTCAGAAAATGCTGGACCCCCAGATATGTACTGAATAAGCTGGATACATTACTTAGCTAAGAACTGATAAGTGCTTACTTGTCGCTCAGTTTTGCTGAATTTCAGATCCTAGACCCATCCCTATTTTACTTTCTGATTCAGCAAAGTTAAAAGTAAACAAGCTGGTGATGGAGTTTTTTAGACTTTGATAAGTCTACTTCATGTCAGATGTAAACAGTTTAATGAGGTCCACAGAGAGAAATAAAGGTGAATAAAAACTTAGACTCAGACAGCTCCCTTTGAGGTGAGTGCACCCAAACAAAATTATGATATACTGTAACAGGACATGTATTGCTGCTACACAACATTAGTTAGATTTCTGCTCTTGTTTTCTACATTATAACGGATAAAATGGATAATGAACTAAATGTAACATATATATCTTTTGATGGGCATGTAGAATTGCAGAAATACAAGTTTCTGTACTTCGTGGCTACATTTACGATATATTTTCTAATAATTTGTGGCAACTCTACAATCTTGGTTCTCATCTGGATCAAAAAAAGCCTCCATGAGCCTATGTACATTTTCATCGCAGCTTTACTCTGCAATGCACTTCTGTTTAGCACCAATGTTTATCCAAAACTTCTGATTGACCTTTTATCTGACTTACAGGTTACAACTTTCTCATCGTGTAGATTACAGGCTTTCATTTATTACTCTTTAAGTGGCTCAGAGTTTCTCCTTTTGGCAGTCATGGCCTATGACAGGTATGTCTCTATCTGTAAGCCTCTGCAATATCAGACAGTCATGAGAAAAACAACCGTGACTACTTTGTTGGTTTTAGCTTGGGTTTTACCATCCGGTCAGCTTATACCGTCCCTTATACTAGGTAACAGTTTTAAACTCTGCAGTCATACTTTGAAGGGAATTTTCTGCAATAATGCTGTTACCAAGCTTTACTGTATGGGCTCCGCTGGACCTTATATTATATATGGTGTGTTTATTTTAATTAATACTGTCTTTGTTCCTTTGGTGTTCATCCTTTTTACCTATAGTAAAATACTTATAATATCCTATAGAAGGGGCTCAAATGTCAGGAAAAAAGCTGTGCAGACATGTGCTCCACACCTGCTGGTTTTGATCAGTTTTTCATGTTTGTGTTCTTATGATGTTATAATAGCCAGATTGGAAATTGATTTACCCAAAACAGCACGCTCAATAATGAGTTTACAGCTGGTTTTGTATCCTCCTCTTTTTAATCCAATAATCTATGGTCTAAAGATGACAGAAATTCATAAACACCTGGTAAGGTTTTTCAGTAGAGCTAGATTCTGCCTTTTTATTACACTAACAGGTAAATGGAAATTAGGTTATGATACAAAAACTAGATAAATAATTCAGACTGGAGATACACTTGTACATTTTTTCTGCTTTCAGCATATAACTTTGAGGATAAAATGTTTGCTTAATGTTTTATAGATCAAATCCAATCCATATCCAATGTTTTATAATTTATTTTCTTGAATGGTGTATATTTTGTTGCTGTAGAATGTGGATATTGCTTCTAAATCAATAAAGTGTACCTTTTTATTATAGTCATAAGTTTCATTTGATAGATTAATGTCATCAGTAAATAGCCTAGAGTGATTTAAGATCAAATGTATTGCCAGCATCTAAAAACTACAAAAATGTTAGTGTGATTAAATATGAGAGATTGATGACTTTTTTTTTTATCAACGGCTGGCATTTGCATTTAGATTTCATGTAACATAACCTCTTTGTTAAATTATAAGACATTTTCAAGAGTCCCTTTTACAACAATTGTTTTTAATGGTAAAAACACCATGACTCTAAAATGCTTGCTATCCTTCTTTGAGAATGTTTTCATATACCATAAGAAAACCAATCATGTCCTGGTTCTTATCCACTGAGCATGCCTTGCTCCTGTTTTTGCTCAGTGGAGGGAGATAGTTTAAAGTTCTGTAGACTTCCTGATACCATGTCTTGTTCTGCCTCTGCATCTGGGACACTCTGGGCGGCTCCCGCCGCATCTCGTAGGCAGTCCATTGGCTGCCTTACTTAAGAGAATGGAGTGATTATTTAAACCACGTAAGTGACTCACATGGATAATCATTTTCCATCAAATTATCGTGTTTAGTTACCTGTGTTTCTCCCTAACCAGAGTGCCAGTAATGGTCGTTGCCCAGCCTCTCCCACCAGCCGCTGCAGATCCACAGCCCTGCGCTTCTGTTCCATTCTGTCTTATTTTAATAAACATTTTGAATCTTCCCACTGTCTGTCTCACCTTGAATTCTGGGTCCTACATTCTGAGCTCATTACAGTTTGACTTGGAGCTGAATTATTTTTGTTTATAACCTCTTATATTTTTAATGGAATTTGTGATGATTTTATTCCATCTATGTGCAGAATTATCTTTTTGACCAGGATTTGAACTCGATTCACGCTTTCATTTGTTGTTATAACACACAGACAGTAGGTTGTGTGTTCATAAACAATATACAGTATGACAGTCCCAATAATACCTGATTAAATAAGATATTTACCACCCCTACCAGGTTGGCCAGTAAACATTTTGAAGTAGGATTGTATTTGAGTCAATGAGTCGATGCAATCAACTGGTTTTCCTTAGATAGAAAACTTTGAATCAATTTGACTGTATGATCTGGTTGAACTTTAAAGTGCTTTGAGATGACTTGTGTTGTGAATTGGCGCTATATAAATAAACTGAACTGAATTGAATTGAAGTACCGCAACATAATATGGTGCCCAAGCTGGCTGGGCATTGAATATAAGTACTCTTTGGCTGGACAGCAAAAAAACATTCACTTCAGCAGTTTACAGAAATGTTCCAGTAGCTGCTCCACAGAACCACTCCCACAGAGTCTACTCGCTCTACAGCTGGTGCGACTGCCGTTCCTGAACTAACACCTCCAGCGACTTCTCATTTTCATTTTGACAATTTCCCCACACCTGAGCCTTATGCAGGTGAAACTGGAAGGTGTTGGGGATTCCTATTATGATGTTGACTATTTTTCCGTCAACTCCCCAAGTCTTTTTTGTTTGATAAGGAAAACATCTTATTTTGATCAATATATAGAGAGGTTGAGCCGTGCAGTAAGCTGAAGCAAGAGGGTAGTCACTTGACATACCTGCGGCTGCACACAGTGTTTTTAAGAGAGAATCCTGTTCACAGGCACACATGTATATTTGTTTACAAAATTCAAAATCACAGACTTTAATGCAATTACATAATTGCATAGCATGAAATCGCAATTGCAATTACATTAATTGTGCAGCACTCGTAAAAACAGGTCCTGAAACATTGTAAGTATTTGTTACCATACTAAAAACAACATAACAATTTAAATTCAACTTATTTCTGCAGGTGGTGCGGTCTTAGATTGGTTCTGTAGTCTATAGGGGGTGTCTCAAAAATCACCCTAAGAGGGGAAATTGTTTCAGATAGTGGTGCATCAAGTAACAAGTCTTACAAATGAACATTACCTAAAAAGAGATCATTAATCTTACCGTTCCTATATTATTGAGACCTTACGCTAGGAAACTTACTGTAGAATTGATCCCACGAGATATATGTGTCGTGGAGTTTTTTTGGTTCTTTTTAGGTTTTCTTTTTGACTTTTCAGTAAATGTTTTATTTATGTCACTCTTTGTTTTCTACGTCAGTGGTTTTATTTCCATTTTGTGTCATTCTAGGTGTTTTCCAATTGTATTTGAGTTCTTATGTATTTCTAGTTTACTCTCTGTTTCCCCCTTTTTGCTAAGCTTCTTCCCCTAGCTCCCTTCTAGATCCTTCTGTCCACACCTGCTCCCAATCAGTTGATTACTCCGTTCTTCCTTCTGTTTGGAATATATGCTTCTCCTCTGCATTTGCTGTATTTTCTTCATTCCTTCATTCTCTCCCTATGTGTTCCCATTGTTCTGGTTCATGTGTTCCTTGATTAGTCATATCTTGATTTATACTTATATGTAATCATTTGTTATTAAATCTGCAAGAAACCACCTCAGCTTCAGTCTCTATATTTGGGTCCTCTTCAAACCCCCACTCAACCTGACAATGAGTGGACTAAGTGGAACAAGTATGTAGACATTCTAGCAAAACAATTATCCATCTATTGTCTATCCACACTGATCAATGCAGGTTCACAGTGGCTAACCTTCCCTAGCTTTGATTGAAAGCGGGGCAGGGTATAAAATAGACCAGTTTTTACTCTGACTCTTTCTAAATACTGCATGCTAAAAAACTTTTATCTTCATTTTTTTTAGTCAAAAACTGTATGCAGATTAGACGTAATATGTTGTGTTAAATTCAATTATGCATACATTTAGTGATATAAAGAAACTATACAGTATTTAGCTAGAACTTAATAGACATGCAAATCTTGACAAATATGGAAACTTCTTTGTTTTAGTTATTAACAACTGTAAGATGCTTACTGGTCGCTCACCTCAATGCCTGGTTGTAAAACTATATATCTTATTTAACTTTTGACTTGTGGAAGTAAACAGTAAACAAGGTGATGATGTAAGACCCGGTTTGCAGGCTGTAGTAAGTCTTACTTCATGTCAAATGTAAACAATTTAATGAAGTCCACCGAGAGAGAAAAAAACGGCATAAAATCTTTGGGCACTAAGACAGCTCACTTTGCAACTCTTAACACTAGTTAGATATCTGCTGTTCTTTGTTGATAGTTCAATGGATAAAATGAATAATGAACTGAATGTAACTTATATTACTTTTGGTGGACATGTAGAATTACAGAAATACAGACTTTTGTACTTCATAGCTACATTTACTGTATACATTCTGATCATTTGCAGCAACTCAACCATCTTGTGTCTAATCTGGATTCAAAAAAGCCTCCATGAGCCTATGTACATTTTCATCGCAGCTTTACTCTGCAATGCACTTCTGTTTAGCACCAATGTTTATCCAAAACTTCTGATTGACCTTTTATCTGACTTACAGGTTACAACTTATTCATCATGTAGATTTCAGGCTTTTATTTATTACTCTTTAAGTGGTTCAGAGTTTCTCCTTTTGGCAGTCATGGCCTATGACAGGTATGTCTCTATCTGCAAACCTCTGCAATATCTAACTATTATGAGAAAAACTACTGTGACCACTTTGCTGGTATTAGCTTGGGTTTTGCCATCCGGTCAGCTTATACCACCACTTATACTGGGACATACTTCTAAACTCTGCAATCATACTTTGAATGGAATTTTCTGCAATAATGCTGTTACCAAGCTTTCCTGCATGGGTTCAACAGGGCCCTATATTATATATGGTGTTTTTACTTTAATTAATACAGTCTTTTTACCTTTTGTGTTCATAATTTTTACCTATAGTAAAATACTGATCATATCCTATAGAAAGAGCTCAGATATCAGGAAGAAATCTGTGAATACCTGTGCTCCACACCTGCTGGTTCTGATTAGTTTTTCATGTTTGTGTTCCTATGATGTTATAATAGCCAGGTTGGAAATTGATTTACCCAAAACTGCACATTCAATAATGAGCTTACAGGTAGTTTTGTATCAGCCTCTTTTTAATCCAATAATCTATGGCCTAAAGATGACTGAAATCCATAAACACCTGAAAATGCTTTTCAGTCGAGGCAGAAGCTTTGTATGTTTTGCACTTTTAGGCAAATGACATTTAAAATAGCAATTTTTTTGTAAAAATAGATTTGAGATGCACTGAGACATACTGTGACTAACTGTATGTCCTGTCTTTTATCTCCTTGACATGAAAAACAACTTAGAACTTATCAGTTTAACCATCTTTCCTAGAGAGAGCCACCTATGGAGCTAATTTACCTTTGCATTCTCTAAGATAGAGAATATTTATAGCTCTGTTTTTCTGTGTTAATTCTGTTTTGATACTGTGTTAATTGCCTCTGTCTTCTCAAATTTCCATTGTCTAATGTCTAAATGTCTAAAAGGAGTGAAATCTGCAAAGTATAAGACATAACAAAATCAGTTGGGTTTCCTTAGGTAGAATACTTAACCAATCTGTCTGTATGATTCATTGAATTGTCTTTTTAAAAAGCATTGAGATGACATGTTTTGAATTGGCACTATGGAAACAAACTAAACAGAAACTGAATTGAAACTGATCTGTCACAATTTGGAAAATACCAAAATAGATTAAATATATTTTTTCTGCTTCCTAAATATCAACTTGGACAAGAAAATGTTAATGGGCTGTCTAATACATCCCTTTCCAGAACAGATATAACGATGCATGTAAACAATACAATGCAACTTATTATGTATATTTTGTTGCTGTAACACATGACTGCTGCAACTAACTCAGTAAGGTGTTACTTTTTACAATCTTCTGATGTTTAATGTTGATCGAATGATTTCATTAGTAAAGATTTGAAAGGTGTTAAAGATCAATTAACAAATTTAATGCTTCTTTCACAGGCATTGATTAATTGACTTTATTGATCGCACAGCGGAGAAATTTACTTGTTACATTAAACTATTAACAACTGGCATTTAAAATATTGATTTCTTGTGACATACTAAACTTTATCGTTGCTTCGTTACTCACAATTAAGTTCTTTGTTACTTCTGAATGTAAATGAGAACCCTTTTGCAGCTATTAGTTTTTAATTGGAAACACTGCCAAAGCTGTAAATACTAGTTATTCTTTGTGAAAAGATATGCTTGCTAAAGCCAGCAGCAAACAGCATTTAGGAATAAGGTAATTCTACATCAAATGCTTTAAAAAGTGAAACGAGTCATGAGGAGTTTGAAAGATGAAATATTTTTAAGAGTAATTGATTTTCTCAAACCTTTCTTTTATAAAGTGTTGTTCTTGACTGCCATCTTAAATGTAGTCTTAGTTTTGTGACGAAGACTTAGTTTTAGTCATTACTATATTTGATAGTTTTAGTACAGAAAGTTTTAGTCTAGTTTTAGTCAGTTTTATGTTCATAACATTGTTAACCTTTACAATTTTGATTAACAACCAGTTGTCCTTACCTGACTTAGTGCTGTTACCTAGATATTAGAATTGATGGGTATAGAATGCTGCCATGCAGGTCATCATTACTGTTGGGCAGAAACCTTTGATTTATAGAATTCAAAGAAACTTTTTATGAATAAATTCCCTACTTTTTACAAGTGTCTCACAAAAGCTGTGAAAAGCAGATCTAGTTCAAAATCTAATTAAAAATAGCAGACAGACAATTTGACAAAATTTACAATAAAGGAATGGTTTTAGACATACAAGGTTTCCATCCAAACGCAAACACTTTGTGACCTACTATGAATTGTGCTTTACACTCCGATCCTTAAATTTTCATTACTCCAAAAAAAGCAAAAAACAAAAATATTCTTATTTTGGTAGTTATGTCTTTATTTCTAAGGATTTGAAGAATATTCCCTTGGTTACCGCTGCTTAGGGTTCAGAGTAGATTTGTAATTCATAGGGGTCTGATATAAAAAAAATTAGAAAAAGAGCCTACATAATTGCCTTATAATGCCGTGGCAATCCGGACCTAAATTTCAGGAATTTATTAACTAAAAAGTAGAAATATCCAAAGGAAAATATTTTATTGACATAATGCAAGGAAATTTATGAAGTAGCAAGGGTAGGAAAACCAATACCGCTGAGAGCGAACCATCAGTGTGGAGCGTAAAGCGCAGACTCTGAACTTTCACACAAAGATGCATTTCTGCACAAGCACAGCTAGAAGAGCAGAGTTTGTCAGAATTGAGCGTGCAGTGCCACACCATTCCAACCTGCTGTCACCCCTGTCACTGCTGCCAAGATCCATCTGTTGTTATGCAGAATGTGCACCAGTGCACGCCTGGTGGGGTGACCAAAACAGGACGCTGCAGTATGCCTGCTACTGCTCAGCAGGTCTAACAGATTACGGTACAATGATTTTTAATTTTAAACCTCTGACAGACCACCCATTAACGTTTTTATTCAATCTCGTCCCGTCAATGAAAACTCACAGCAATGACTCTTCGTGTTTTCAAAGATTCATGTTGAGCTCATTAGTGAAAAAAGAGCCGTCAACAAAATAATTTTGTCATCATTGACGAAAACAACACTGCTTTCATAGTTTGACTTTGTTCCAAAACATCAATGTTTTCATTACCTAATATCAGAGATAATAAAGCTTAATTTCTCCTTTTTATGATGTTTGAACAAGAAAATAAAACGGAGCACCTCATTGTAATAAAGTTACAGTAAATCTTGTTTAAATTATTCTTGTAAGCAGCACAAACTAGAGCTGAATAGTTCGAAATAAAGATACTGTCACACTGTAAACTGTTTTGCCATAAATCTAGGCACCTACAAATATATTTTTAGGACTGAAGGTGTTTTATTTGAAAGAGCATGTTTTAAAAAGAAACTGCGCCATCAAAATTTAACTATGTTTTTTTTCTGTAGTGTTAAGTCACAACACCTGTTATTTCAAAGGACTTTGCATAATGTAATTACAAATGTTTGGAAGATAATGTGTGTTTAGTGTGACACAATGTAGATTTCCAATGTTCTTACATCTTCTGTATTAAACGTTGTCTCATCATATTGGCTCAACTTATAAAGATTTTATATTCAAATTTATTCTAAGTTTAGAAAGAAATTTGATTAATTCAAAAACATGACCTATGTGATCATTCACCACAGTATTCAACCTTTACAGAGTTTGAAGAGTGTGTTCCCTCTGCCTGCAGAGACAGACATTCAGGTGATCTCCCCAGTGTTGCCCTCTTGTGGATCCATGAGTAAAGATGAATGGAGGGATTAGGGTCTAGGATGTCTTTTGAAGCCCCACCCTTTATGTGTGTCTTGCGGAAGGGTCTCAGCTTACAGTCTTAAAGTCATTTTATGTTAACCAATCTAAAATGTATAAATTTTTCTGTCTCTGAGAGAAAAAGTCTCTACTTGCACCAAGAAATACGTGTTAGCCGGGTTGAGATCCTCAAAGTATTTCTTACATCATCTGACAATGTCGTCTGTCAAGGTCAGCAGCTCCTCACTTCCACTAAAAACAGTATTGGTGATGCAGGGCTTCCCCCACCGGAGCAAGTGTCCTGAGTGGGTAGCATCCAGAATTTACTCGAAACGAAGTCATTTAGAATGTTTTTAGAGCATAAAAAGTAGTGTATAGGATTTCCTGAAAGCGCATTCACGACGCTACGGAAACCGCGGCAGACCAAACCAGATGAAAGTGCGCATTCAGCTCGGCAAAGAACTCATGCTCTTCCTCAACACTGAAGTCCTCAGACATTTTTCTTTCGTTGTTTCTTTCTTTGCACAGGTAAACAGCACATTTAATCATTAACCTCTAGCCTAGGGTGTCCTGGTGTCTATTGCACCAATGGACACACCCATGACTTGCATAGAAGTCCAATACGGAAAAAACACAAAGTTTTCTTCCAAGCTCACCCTGTGGATGTCACTTTCACCTCCCATATGAGTGTTGAAGTCCCGGAATAGACCAATGGAATCCTCAAGAGGGTCGCTATTCAGCACCAATGCCAGGAAGACTATGAAGGCCTGGTACTCTGTACTCCTGCTTGGCCCCCAAGGCAAAGACAACTGTCAGAGACCTCCACCCTAGTTGAGGGCACAGAGAAGTGACTCTCATCCACTGAACTGGGAGGAGTCAAGCAGACCCCACTCTAGCCCTCTGCCTCTCCCTGTGTGTCACTCCAGATTAGCATCTTTTTAGTAGCTGAGTTCTGGAGTCCAGGTTATGCGTGAAGGTGGACCGATTATTTCTAGCTGGTATCACTCAACCCTCAACACAAGCTCAGTCCCCTTTCTCCCCAAACAAGGTAACTGTCCACTTCCCAGCACCACCTAAAGCATCTGTGGGTCAGATCTTCTCTGTTTTCACTTCTGACTACTGCTCCCCTTTGCGGAGGTCCTTTATTAATCCTCCTCAGAGGTGTCAAAAGTACCATATTGATCCAAATGTGAGACAAGTTTATTTTCATTAAAAACAGCATGAAAATCTAACCAATTATACAGGCCAACAGTTGTCTGGGGTCACTACACAAATGCAACAGCAGAGGGTGCCCTTTTTTTGTAAAGCCGGTGACCAAATGTAAATGGAAAACAGTTGCGCTGGTCATCTTTCTATCGAAACAGAGAAAAATTTACAAGGATGATACAAATGGAGGGTTGCTCCCCAGAACAGAGTGAATCAAAAGTCCCACCAGTTTGCAGACATTTAAGGCAGGGATACGACTCCAATTTTAAATTAATGGTGGTCAAAACAGCAGAGGCATCAAATAACTGTCAGACAGCAAAGAAATATGGTATTACGGAGTGCAATGTTAGAAGTTATCACGTTCAAGAAGACTGGAAAAATAATTGTAACAATTATATAACTTTATTGATCTCATATTGGAGAAATTTACCTCTGCATTTAACTCTCAGCCTCCCCGGAAAGGCCTATGCCAGGGTGCTGGAGAGGAGAGTCCGGCTGATTGTCGAACCTCGGCTGCAGGAGGAGCAGTGTGGTTTTCGTCCTGGCTGTGGAACAGTGGACCAGCTCTACACCCTCTGCAGGGTGCTTGAGGGTTCTTGGGAGTTTGCCCAACCAGTCCACATGTGTTTTGTGGACTTGGAGAAGGCATTCGACCGTGTCCCTCGTGCTGCCCTGTGGGGGGTGCTCCAGGAGTATGGAGTCGGGGGGCCCTTTATTAGGGGCCATCCGTTCTCTGTACAAGCGGAGCAGGAGTCTGGTTCGCATTGCCGGCATTAAGTCGGACCTGTTCCCGGTGCATGTTGGACTCCGACAGGGCTGCCCTCTGTCACCGGTCCTGTTCATAACTTTTATGGACAGGATTTCTAGGCGCAGCCAAGGACCAGTGGGGGTCTGTTTCAGGGACCAGCGGATCTCGTCCCTGCTTTTT